ACGCACCGCACTTTGGTCGCGACAAGCGGCAGTCGCGCGTGCACGGGCTGGTGTTTGAGCAGCAGTCGGGCTTCTCGTACCAGCTTCCGCCGGGCGCCATCGACTTCAAAGCGCGCGAGTCCTTCTCCACGATGCTGTCCATGGATGGCGGGGAGACGCACAGCGATCTTCGGGCGCGCGCGCGCGATCGGCAGAGCTGGCAAGACAACTCGCGGCACTCTGCGTGGCCCTCCGGTGCTCCGTGCGAGGGCGCCGGCGACGAGATGGACGCCGACGGGGGGTCTGAGGCGGGCTGCGAGGCGGGAGGGGGCGCGGACTTTGGGGCTGGGTTCGAAGGAGAGGAGGCCGACACCAGCGGCTTGAGCCTCGACGACAGCCCCTCGCGCCGTGCGGAGCCGCCCTCTGACGAGCCGAGGACGCAGCCCCGCCCCGAGCAGCGTCAGCTGGGCCGGGCGGCGCTGCGCGCGGATCCCCACCGCCGGCTCTCGGTTCCGCAGCTCGGCCAGCTGGTGGCGCGGCGCGCTGGTGGCGGCGGCGGCGTCCGCCTCGCCGCCGTGGCAGGAGCCGCGGCAACGCCGGGCGGCGCACCGAGCATGTCGCGGCTCTTCATGGGAGCGCTGTGGGCGGCCACGACGCAGCACGTGCTCTCGCTGCAGTCCCGCGACGGCGCCGATCGCACCGTCCCGCCGCAAGTGGGCCTGCCCTTTGCCGCCGGCAAGAAGGTGAGGCTGGTTGCGGGCGTGAGGGATGAGGACGGCCGGTGCGTTGATGTGCAGGTGCAGCTGGCATGAGAGGGGGGAAGAGGGAGCTCGCATCAGCAGCCGTTGCGAGGCGGCGTCCGAGAGTCTCTTGCGAACAGATCTGAAGGGCTCTGCTGCCCAGCGCCGCCGCCCCGGCCGCTCCCGCACACCACGGCCGGCCGTGTGGAGCGCTCTTCGCCGTTTTGCGCGTTCCACGCGGCGAGGAGTGCTGTTTTCGACGACTTCGTACATTGCCTCTCTCTCTGGTCTGACTCTCGTTCCGTCTCTCGCTGCGAGAGCGCGCGAGTTACAACACAAAGCTCCCTCGCACAAACAAGAGAGGCTACTTCCATTTCACTGTGGCACAGCTCGCGACTGAAGCCCCACCCCTCCTCCGCGGCCTCTTCTTAGGCCCCAACATTTGCTGTTCTCTTTCCCTCAGTATATCTGTCTAGGTAGTACAGCCGACGGCGAAAATTAAAGATACGTTGCCATTGGCTCTCTCGCTAGCTGAAATCTTGCTCACCAAGAGCGTCTCAGCCAACCAGCGATCGGCCCGGGCTCGGAGGCGCCCGTGTAGCCAAATAGGGAGACCCCTGTGCGGGTGGCCGCCCGGCCCTGCGTGACAAGGACCTGCGCAACTTTCTCGGCGCCCGTGGTGCGCTCGAGCAGCGCCCGCAGCGCGGCCAGCGTCTCCGGGCGCAGCTCCGACTCGATCGCGGCCGCGCCGGTGTTGCCCGCGTTGCAGCGCGACGAGTTAGTCTTGCCCATCATGCAGCCCGTGCCCAGCTGGGCGGGCATGCTCAGGCCCAGCTTGTGCAGCACAGTGCGCGTGATGGCCTCGACACCACCCGGCGCGACGAGCGTGCCGTAGGGCACGAGCATGAACTGCGACGGTTCGAACGCCTGCTCCTCCAGCCACCACCGCAACTGCGGCGCGTAAAGACTGCCCGAGAAGGGCCCCCAGACGTTACCGCCGCAAGGGTCGCGCCCGGTCTGCAGTACCTCCTCAGCGTAGTCCTGTATGGTGCGCCCCGAGGTGCGCGACCACGCCTTGTTCCAGCCCGCACGGATCCAGTTGTAAAAGGCCGACTGGAGCCGGCCTAGCGGCTCTCGCAGCAACACAATGAAGTGCAGCCGCTGCGAGCACGAGCTCAGCGGGCAGAGCTGCGGCGTGTACTGCTTTGCGATGGCACTGGGCGCCCGCTTGAGGTACAGGATAGGCGTGGCGTCGAAGGATACGGCGCGCTTCTGTTCAGCGCTGCAATTGGGGTAGCCGGAGAGCCACCAGCTCCGGCCGAACCGTTGAATTGAGCCGTCGAAGACGTGCGGCTCCTTTTGGGGCCCCTTGTCCTTGGCCGCGAAATGCATCATACCGGGAATGCGGTAGAGCGTGCTCGCGAACAGCGTCGTTGCCGACTTCTGCGCGCCCAGAAGGAAGAGCTGCGGCGCGAGACGGCCGTCCATGCACAGATTCGCAGTCGCACTGCTGGTGCCAGTGGATCGGGCGACTATGCCGGTGGATCGGGCGACTAGCTCGCCGGACGGTGCTTGCCAAGCCGAGGGTGAAGTAGCAGCAGCGTCGACCTCGGCATGCCCGTTGAACGCCGCGAGCTTCAGACGCCCATCGAGCGCTGAATGCCCGGGCTTGGGTCTGCTGCACGCCGTGAGGGTGGAGAGGTGCCGCCGCCCACGGTTGTTACTGCAGATGGGCTCGCCCGACGCGACAGCACGTTGCAGGCGCAGCCAGCCAGCGCTGCTGCTATTGTGGTGCTTACCATCGAGCTGTTTGTACACGTGCAATAGCCACACGGGGCACTGATCGCGGACGGCGGGCGGTGGTATGCGCAGTATGTGCACGGCCTCGGGCAGTGCGTCCAGCAGCAGCGCCCCGAATGGCGAGTAGTTGTCCATGTGCCTCTTGCCATGTGGAGCGATGTCATTCTCCACGATCATGCGCCGCACCGCCCCTGCGACGCCCTCGTCCTGAGACCCGTCGCCGTTTGGCGGGTACCTCTCCAGCAGCCGCTGCCGCATCGCCTTGAAGGCAGCGCGGGGGTAGAGTAGGCGGCCCAACAGCGTGTAGTCGGTGGCTTTGTCTGCAACGAGCCGCATTGAGGGCGCGTTCGCCCTTTCGACGTGGGGTGGGAGCGACGAGAAGGGGCGCGTGACTAGGTAGGGTCGGCCGGACGGGTCGACGAGGTCGGCGAGGGTGACCCCCTCGCAAAGCAGCATATCGCCGTCCATGAACATGACATTCGGTGCGCTTCCGGCGGTGGCGAGGTCGGCGTTGATGTAATCGTAGAACATTGGGAGCCCGTCTGCCATCGTTGTCGTGGACACCACACGAACCCAGCCGTCCAGCTCTGGTAGCCCTTCCAGCATCTCTGCAAACTCGGCAAAATCTTCTGCGGCAATGCCGAGGACAATCTCGCCCACAAACTCGGCCCCATATGCGCGCAGCGAGCGCAGCGTCGACTGAAGGATGCCGAGCCGGATGTCACGCCAGTAGGTGCGAATGTACACGTCGACCGCTCCTGTGCGAGCCTCGCGTGCCAGGCCCTGCTCGCAGCGAGTAATGGATGTCAGCCAGGTCAGTGCTTCTGGACATCTCCAGGTGCCGGAGCCGTCCTGGTTGCGGCATCGCACACCACGCTCCGGTGACAGCTCCGGCGCCCAGCCAGGAGCGCACTTCACCGCGGCAAATGCAAGCAGGCTGAAGCCCAGCATGCACACACACCGTTAGTAGGGGGCACGTCGACAAGGAACTGTGCTGCGAAGAAAAAGACAAGAAACGTGTAGGGAGGCGGGAAAAGCCAAAAAAGCCGTCCAAAAAGCCACAAAAAAAAGACGGCACCTCCCTCCCCACTGGTCGCTCGCCCCATCTACAGATGATATGCGCATCCTAGATGCCAAATAGGATGCGTTTTCCATCTAAGCACTAAGGATAAATAATCTCCGAGAAGATTTAATCATCTTTACCGATGGCGTGCGGCCCCCCGCGTCTTTTGATATAGATAGCCTCCCGTGCGGCGTGCGTGACATCTCAGATGTCGCCGCCCCTGACTTTCTTAACCGTTTGTTTGGGGCCCACCGCGCTGTGTTCGGCTCTCAGTACGTTATGCATGTAGCGATGTAGGTCTTTTCACAAAACTCAAAAGACCGCGAAATTAGCTGTATGTGTTGCAATAGAGCTTAGAGGGCCGTGTGTACTCAATAGAGCGGGTTGCGCGGACTCGAACATCTTGTAGTCAACACCAACCTCTAGACCTGCTACACCGCGACTCCCGCCTGGCGCGGCGCCTCAAACAGCAGCGCGATCAGCCGGTCCACTTGCTGCAGAAGCCTTCCCTCAGCGGCGACCCCCCTGTGCTCTCGTTCGCCGCCGCCACCGCCGCAGAGAGCGAGGAGCGCGCGTCCAGCCCCAAATGCGCACAGACCCCCGTGAAACCTTCTGGCGCCGTGGAAGGTGCCTCCGACGCCTCCTCCCACAGCGTTGTTTGCGGTTGCCGGTGGCGGGGCGGCCGGTGGGGGTCCTAGCTCGAGCGCCGCGAGTCGCATGGTGAGCGCCTCCTCGCGTGCCGTCGCTGCCTCCGCCTCTGCCCTCGCCGCCTCCTCCCGCCCCCTTGCTTCCCCCTCTCGCCCCCTCGCCTCCTCCTCCCTCGCCCTCGCCGCCTCCGCCTGCAACCTCGCCTGTTCCGCCTCTGACCTCGCCCGTTCCGCCTCTGACCCCAACGTCGCCTCGCGAGCCCTCGCCGCCGCCGCGTCTGACCTAGCCTGGGAGAGCGCCTGCTCGATCGCCGACCGCGTGCTGGACTGCTCAGCCTGCGTCGTCCTCAGCGGTGCCGCGGCCCGCGCCGCCTCCTCCTGCCGCGCCTGCGCCTCCATCTCGTCCACCAGCGCCGCCCGCGCTGCTTGCTTCCGCTCCTCCACCGCCGCTCGCGCCGCCTGCTGTCGCCTGCTGTGAGCCTCGCTCTCCGCCGCAGCCGCGGCCGCGGCCTCGGCCCTAGCCTCCCTCTCCAAACGCTCCTCCCTCTCCCGCCGCGCTGCCTCGAGCAGCCTCGCCCC